ATACTCAAGTTTTTGTCCAGAATATTTAATTCAGAAGTCCTTGTATGAGGGAATGTGACCAAAATGGAGATATCAAGAAAAGCTGTCATCCAAATATTATTTTTATAGAGAGCTTTGAGAGAAAGGTCACATTGTTATTTTCTTACACTATGGAACAGTTTCTATTATTACAGATTCCAAAAGCCTGGAATCGTTGTCATTTATGATCTAAGTAAAATTCAAGTCCTGGTTTGTACCCATTACCAAAAGCTTCTCTAGGTTTTCTCTCTTCATTTCACAAACATTTGTAAAATACTTCCTTCACACTTGAAAAGAGAGAAGTTGCCTCACCAAAACGTGTTCTTGTTTTCTTCCATAGCGGTAAACACAGAGGTTTAGGAAAATACTCTTTTAATAAAGAAGACACATTTTCTTTGAGAAATTTCAGGGACTAAATTAGATATGTGAGTTACTACTCAGCAGTGAATGGTAATAAGAGTTTTTTATAACTAATGTCAAAAAAGACATTAGTTATAAAATGTCTTTTTGGTCCCGGTGCTTCTTCCTCACATAGCACTCTATCTGAAAGTTTAACACATACTTTTTATTGAATCCACATGGTGTCCATGCTTTAAAAAAAAAAAAAAAAAAAAAGTAGAAGGTCATATCCTGCTTCTAACTATGCTGCTGTGAGTTCAGTTATACTCTCCTGAAAATAAATGAAATTTCTCTGGGCCTACACTGGAGAAAATGAGAGGAGAATCTGTTTCAGGATCTCTGCATGCAGGTTAGTTGAAATACCACCTCTGTCCCTTGGAGGTATTTCAGATGATGAATGCATATTAAGCTCTGGGCATTGGAAGGGCTGGTGTAATGGAATGGTTTGCAAGGGGGCAGTCACATCAGCACCTGGAGCTCCTCTGTGGTGGCACATCCCTTAGTGCAGTGCTGATCAGTAATCCTACAGGAAAAACATGCTAGGAGCTGGTACTGGAGAAGGGACTGCTCAGTATTCAGTAGGGAGGAAGACTGGTTGGATGTAAAAGGAGCCTGTTAAGTTCCAGTAAAGAAAATGATCTAAGGTGTGCTCCAATTCGGACAAGTAAGGGCAAATACCACCACCACCCCTTAAACTGTGACTAATCACAATTCTTGGGTTATTGAAAAAGAGTGTAGAGATGGGAAAAAGGAGAAGGTGATCCCATCCTCAAAGCAATTCTTAAAGAACAAGGACTAACAAGGCCCTGAGTTTTCCACAAGCAAACACTGTTGTGGGTTGTATCTACACTGATGTACCCAGAGCCTTAAAAATATGGACTACTGGTTGTTCATGTAAAGTGGAGGGTGAAGCTCTCACGATCCCTTGTGTTATCCTTGCCTCCAAAGCCAAGACTAAATAGGACACATGCCCACATGCAGCAGATGAAGTGGCCTTGCTCTCTTAGGGCTCCTGTTCTCATGAGCTCAGCCTTCTATTCTCCCCTCCCTTGAGCAAATGAAGTTGAATGAAAACAATTGGAGAAAAATTCAACTTGAAATCCTTGAGTTTAATTTGGCTTTAGGTCAAAACCAGAAGGGGATGAATAATATTTTATTTAGTAGATACAAGCTTTTTTTGTTGTTGTTGTTGTGTTTTTTTTTTTTTTTTGGTTGGTTTTTTTTGTTTTGTTTTTATTTTTTTACTTCTTCACGGAAAAGTAATAGATCTTATTCAACAAATAAAATGGCTGATCAAAAACTTGGAAAATGTGTGAGGAATTTCTTGGACTAGTTAAAAACATCAAGTCCTCAGTTCAAAAATCTTAAGTCTTACTTCAGAAGCATCTCTCATTGACTGGACTACATTCCTTCAAAAGGGTAAAGTTAGGCTTTTACCCAGGCCCAGTTACAGATTTTCAGCTGAGGCTCTGTAGAAGTATCACAAACCTGATTACACTTGTATAGAATTTGGAGCTTCTAATACTTCCTAAGCAAAGAGAGTGTTGAATTTCTATGAGTTTTTTCATTACTATGTGTATGTTGCATTCAGATAGACAATGGAAAGGAATCTTTCCCAGAACAATGGAGAATAAAAGAGAGAGGCAAACAAACCCTTCATTCAGATCAACCTTCCAGGAAACCAAGATGATTTCCATCATTTTTATGACTTTTCCCTAGAGGCAAAAGACATCTAATTAGCAAATCCCTCTGTAAGTTTGTTTCAATTGACACAAAGGGAATGTGACAAGCAGAGAAATTATAAGCCTTACATTTCCAGTTAACCAGTTTGAACTGATAAAACCAAGCTCAGATGGGTTTTGGGGATCTTAAAGCTTGGGGAGCAAATAATCCAGAGGGTGAGTTAGTTCTGCTAAAAATGTGAACTTATGGTGTTGCAGTCAGTGATTTCTGACAGCAGTGTCACAGCAGTCCTTTGTGAATGTGCCCTCACATCACCAGCTACAAAGCATTGCAGTGAGTTGTGACATGGTCCTATAATGATCTGGGGAGGAGCTGAATGATACCAAGCAGAATCAAATCTTGATTCCTCAAGCAGAAATAGAGCATGAGTAAAATAAATATTAATCATGAAGTTAATTAGTAAATGCTGGTAATTAATCATGCATTACTTTTAATGATGGGTAGAAATACTCAGAGGTGGGAGACGATCCTTCAGGAAAGCAGGCTGTGCAGCCTAAATGAGGTAATGTCCCCATTGCTAAAATCAGCAGCAGTCGATCCACAAGGTTGTTTTGACCTTTGTTGTCTTTACTGGAAGATAATACTAGCAGCATCTCCTCCCCCTCGATTTAATATCTAAATTTATGTGGCAAGCAGGCCCTGTCCAAGGGGTTGGTGGGCTCTTGCAGCAGTGCAGGCAGGTGCTAAAGGGTCCACAGGACTCATAAATACTGCCAGGTAAATGGTTACATGCAAACCTTTTAAAAACTCTGTAATTCATGGACCAATTATATTTCTAAGTATTGTTCCAGCAACTACAAAATACTCTAATTGAGAGACACATAATTGATATCCTGAACTTCATCAGCACTTTGGAACAACTGCTAGGGATCTTTAAAAAAAAAGCCAGTTATCTCTCTAGAGCATGGAAAAAACAGCATCTTTACTGCAAAAGCCCTGTAATCTGTGTCTAAAAAGCTTCCAAGCTTCTCAGCTGTGCTGTGGGTCAGGTAGCCACATCTTGCAGAAACAGCTGTGGGAAGTGGTCAGATGACAAGAAATATTGGAAAATTAGTTGGCAGAAAGAAATCTGTGATGATAGGCAAAACCCCTTCCTTGGGGTAATATCTCAAGTTACGCTATCACTTAGGACAAGTTTCCTAAAGCAAAGATCTTGAGGCCACACAGGTGGGAAATCCTTCTACACTCACGGTAAATCTTGCAAGTACTACTGGGGCCAAGGTGCCCAGTCCCATCTTGTTGGCTGACCCCCCTAAGCAGCAGCCCAAGAGGGCACAGAGCAAGTAGTTAACATTACTTCAAGCAGAGCTGCTCTCATGTTTTTATGCCTCACCAGAATGTGACCTTGCAAATTTTTTCAGAAAAACAGTAGTGTTTGCAGAAGTCTTGCCTGTCTCCCCTGTGATGACAGATTGCTGGAAGGTTCATGATGGCTGAATGAAGAAACAATTAAAATTCATCTGTCTGCCAGTCTATTAAGAGAATGGGGAAATGCACCTTAGAAGAGAGCACACAGTGGCTCAAGAAGAAGAACAGCTTACAGACACCTCCCATAAAACAGCAAAACTGTGCTTGCATCCTGCAAATGCTCATTCTACAGCATCTTTCCACAAAGCAATTTCTCACACCTACCCATAGGTTTCACCTGGTACCTCTTGCTAAGGGACTTGTTGGAGTAAGTCATGGTTAGTTGTTCAGGAAATTTAAAAGGAGAAAGGTGTGCAGGCATACAACTGTATTTACTCTTTTTAAAGCATCAGCCTATTCATCCAGTTTGGTGAAGAAACTCCAGCTTAGAAGGATTCGTTCACAGTGCTGCCTTCTGGGAGTCCATGGAAAACAGGCTTTCATTTTTAAGCAGCTTCTTATAGCTTTTTTCCCATCTCCACACCTATACTGCAATTCCATATCTTCAAATATGCTGAGATGAAATCCCACCTAAACTACTCAGAGTTGCCTAAACATTCCAAGGTCAAATATGTTTTACTTGTTTTGCACCTGGTTTCCAGACTCTGGGGTACAGCAAGTTTGCACATTCTCACTTTGATTGGCAGGTCTGAAACTTGGGATCTGAGATCTGAGTGCACAGGGACTTGGCATAGCACAACTAAGCTAAAACAGCAGATATTGTCAGGGTACTGTCTCATGATAACACAGTGGGAGCTGGCTACATGGAATATAGTTGTAGACATATCTGTGGCAACCTTCTCCTTCATCTCTCAGCATGTATTTTATCCACAGAATATTCCCAGAAGTGTGATGGGTGTTTAGAAAGCTCACAGATAAATCTTAGTTTTTCTTTGCCAAAGCAATAGCAAATGTGCAAACAGTATTTTTTGTCATATCAGTCAAAAGATATCTAAAAACAGAATTTCCTAACCCTGCCTCCCTGAGAAAAATGATGGCATAAAAATTAACATTGTAAAACACATTATCTAAGATAACATAGAAATTCATTAAAATTCTGAATTTCAAAAGAGCCTAAATTTTTGTAAGCTAGAAAACTTAGATGGGAGTCCAAAATACACTTGCATCTGCCCTACTATCTCACCTTTCTGACAAGTATCTACATAATATATAGCAGTGACATATTCATTCCATTGAATGAAGAGAAAAGTGTTATGAGCATGTGCTTCTTGAAATTCTTCTAAATGTGCATCCATGATACACCTGAATAGGTTCTAAATGTGCCATCACCAGCTCTGCAGAAGTGCATGCTGAGAGGATCATTAAGTGCCACTAGGACACATCTCCTGCAGGAATGAGGCCAGGCTTGGAAAAGCCTTTTTATTACTTGGACCAGAACAATTCTGTAGCAAATAAGGAGGAATTTGTCTTACCGGTCTGTGCTGCTGAGAGACTGGATACTGCAAACCTGAGATTTGCTGGCTTTGCTGCATTTTCTGAAGCATCATTTTTTGCTGCATTGCTAGGGTTACATTAGGTGGCCTCTGAAGAGACTGGTTTGGGAGAGGCTGAGCAGTTTGTGGCTGTGGCTGTTGTTGCTGCTGTTGCTGTGGCTGCTGCTGCACGGGAGCTGAACCCTGTGCCTGCTGGGTGTAGTGCAGAAGGGCAGGCTTGTTTTGGGAACCCAAAACCGAAGGCATCTGCTGGTTTGTTTGCTCTGAGTTAAAGTGAAACAAAGGCTTTGTGTTGCCATGATGCTGCTCTAGAGGTGGCTGAGCACTGTTGATAAAGTTTCTGTTGAGGTCCTGAGGCTTCTGTTGCATGATTATGTCCATGGGATTGCTCTGGGGAGTGGTTGGTTTATAAACATAGTTGTTCATCCCTTTTGTCTGGTTTCCATTCACTGGCACCCCAAGCATTGCTGAGCTTTGTGGGCTGAACTGCTGCTGGCGAAAAGAGGGACTGGGGATTTTCTCTTGCACAAAGGGTCCAGGGGAAGGTCCTGATGGAGACAGAGTGGACCAGTTGGCTGTCTGGTTCTGCTGCTGCTGTTGCTGCTGAATCAAGGCATGCTGCTGCCGGTTGGCTGCGATCTGTTTGAGCTGCTGTGCATGAGACACCTCCTGCCAGTTAGGCAAAGGCCGAGTGGATGCAGAAGAAACCTGTGACACCTGTGTTTGAGGCACCGAGGGGATGGGTGAAGAGGCAGACATGGCAGGGGAAGCCATCGTGAAGGCTGGACCTGTAGAAGAAGGCCTCATCTGTGGGGAGCCCACAGGAGCCTGATTCATGCCTGCTGCATACTCACTTTTTATCACCATCTTATCCATCTGCAGAGATCTCACAGGGCCCCTCTGGCTCTGCTGCCCAAGGTCAATGTTGAATGGCTCATCTTGTTTTATCGTGGCATTTATCATATTCTCTAGCTCAACATCACTCATTGGTGGCACCGATATGTTAGTCAGTTCATTAAACAGTTCCTGAAGCTCAAGATCCATCATTTGGTCCCATGAGTCTTCCCCATATCTGTTAGGGAACACGTTCTCATGGGATGTCTGGCCATCTAAGTGTTTGCTGCAGGACATTGTTTCTCCTGGTTCTTTCTTTACCTCTTTCAAAGTCATATTAAACATGTCATTCCCACTAGCATGGGTATTGTTTGCTAGGCTGCTGGCCTTTCTTTGTGATCCTTGCCCCACAGTCATAGTTCCTGACATTGACTGGCTTTGGCAATTGTTAACATGTTGTCCACCTTGTCCCACTGGGATATTGTCACCCACTCTTATCCTCTTAATGTCAAGGAAAGAGTTCTCTGAAACACCATTGGGCCTTTTGTTGACAGGTGACAGATTTACCACCAACTTTCTCTTCAAGGAGCCTTGAAGCTGAAAGAAACAGAGACAAAAAAAAACAATTAGATGATACCAAAGAAATAATTTAATTGCTTGAAAGGCAACAGGCAAGTAAGCATTGCTTAGTTCAGAAAGCTCCTCTGGGCTTTTTTTGGTCAGTGAAGCTGTGCAGAACTGTAGGCAAATAGGCTTTAAGTGGTGACTCTCCCTGCCACCATCACCCTTGCCATCAGCATTTTTCGAGCACTGCTGCCTCCTGTTCATCACAGACCCCCTTCCCCCTCAGAGGTGTGATGAGGGAGGGAGGTAGCCAGAGCTGTAGTTGGTAAAGCCCCTTTGCTCCAGATCTACTCCAATCCAGCTGTGCCAGACAGATCTAAAGTATTTTAGACAGCAGAGACAAATGCAGTCATGAAATCTGCCCTTGTGCCTACCCGGTGGTGCAGTTTTCATTTTCCCAGTTTTGGTATATGATCCAAAAAAACATTTTTGACACTTGTAGAGTCCAAAAATCCTTGAAAACATTATAATGGCACACACAAGATCAAGGCATACTTAGCTTATGTAGGTTTATACTGGCCAGAGATGTGTATGATTAAAAATGTTAGATATTAACCTGTTGAAAACTGAGAATGAGTTCACTGGAGCCATGTCCGGTTATGTCAGCCAAGGGTCTGGCCCATGATGTACTTAATGCCAGATTATTTCCCAAAGACGTACATTAATACATTAAGCCCTTGTTGTTTATGTCCTGAAACATCTCTTGTAAAACATACAGTCCACTCAACACTGCTCTGAGAATTGTAACTCTGCTTTCTTTCCCTTGACTATTTACAGTGATACTTCCATTTGCTTGCCAGCCCTGTAGGCCTACTGAAGGAAAAGAGGTTCATGGCTCTGTCTGCCTGATATACTCATCTGCTGTGGCTGTGCACACAAATTCCCACCCCATGCACAGAAAACAGAGATGTCAGTCCCATGAGCTGAAAAGCCTGGACTTGGTACATATGCCCTCAAGTAAGATGCAGATGCCCTCAAGAAGAGTTGCTTTGAACACAGTTCATAAAATAACAGATCACTTTAAAACAAGGGCAGCTGTCCTATATTTAGCCCTGTACATTTCATCTTAGAGGTCCAAAGGGGCACCCAGTGAGAAGTGTGCACGTGCAGCCCTTGCAGACCCAGCACACATGGTCCCTGTTTCAGCCAGGAAAATAAGCAGTGAAACACAGCTCACCTTCTGCCTTTCTGCACTTGGGCAGAAGTACAATGGCCCCAGAGGCATCAAGACAACACCATCTGAGAAATATATGTGTGTGCCAGTGAGAAAATAATAAATAATGCCTGTACACACTGTGATACCTTAGGAAGCTGCGAAGGGCAGAGAGAACTGGGAACTCTAATTCTCCAGTTAAGTGAGGAAGAATGATTTATGAGATCTTCCAGTCACATTATTTGCATCATGCTGTTTCATGTACAGAAGCCCATGGGTACATAATACTCTATTGTGGCCTCTATTCCCTTCAGTTTCAGGCTTACCTATAGGTAAAAGCTCTTCCCAGTTAACTCCAGATGTGAAAAATTTTATTCTGAATATAATTTAATTGCTTGAAAAGAGTTTAACTGAGAAATACATATTTCCTCCAAACCCACATATGCTTCCATTGCATCATCAGGTCACTGAGTTTAGCCCTTAAAAATAAAGTTTGTAATTTCTCTCTCTGACCAATTTCATATTTCAAGTTAACTTTCCAGCATAGCTTTTAAATCACAGATTCATGTTTTCATAAGGATGAACATGTTGATCCCTCTTGTATAAGTCTACAGACTGCGTGCATGCAAGAGTAATTAATTGTCACTAGGTGTCCCTCACTGGGGAGAGGTTTTGGTGGTCACTGCAAAAAGCACAGACTGTCTTGGATTAGTATGTTCCTTCTGACACATGAGTCACTGTACTTTCCTCTGGAACAAAAAAAAGGTAAGTTGCACTTCCTTTTACCATCATCTTTGCTGTCAGTGTGTTTATTAGAAACCATGCTCGTACACTCAAATTCATCTTCCTGGGAAATGGGGAAGTCCACAGGTCATTAGAATACATGACTTGGCAGCACATTTTGCTTTCAGATGTGTTGCTGACAGAAAGGCTGAACAGAGTACATCCCCTGCATATGTATATGTTTTATGTGGTTAATATGACTTTCTGAGTTAATTTGGGTTTGCTTGACATTTTGAAGCAGAGGGAGCTGTTTAAAAAACTCCACATTTTCAGGGCACCTGCACCAAGCTTTCTGACACGTAAAAATGCAGGTGTTACATTGTGCTCTGTGTAGTATCTGCTTTTCACCTGCATTTGAAGTAGCTTCTAGCAGATAGCAGGGTGAGGTGGGTGAGCTGGGAAGTGGTTTGTCACACACAAGTCAGCAGCAGAGCCAGGCAGAGCACCATGATCTCCAGACACATCCCTTAACCAAGCATCCCTCCCTTAGCATGGCCTGGAGGACTCCTGGTTTCATGACATCTTCCCACCAAAAAGGGGACTGTACATTTCTAAAGAATAACAAGTAGTAACTTACTACACCTCCCCAAAACCTTGCACACATAACCCTTGGAATGCTGACAACACCATCAGTCAATAGATGTCCACACCTTAAAGCAGAAATGAGAGCAAGTGAGGCTGCAAAGGTGCAGGGAACTCAGGGGACTTCACTAAGGCCGCTACAAATGCCCTGATTTCACATCCCCCATGAGTTCAGGATATGGAGGGAGAGGGCACAGGAGTGAGCAGCCCACAGGGATGAAGTCCCCTCTACCTCCTTGCACTGAGCTGTTACCAGTTATATGTCAGGGGGAGCTTCAGGGGACTGGTCTGTGTTTGTTCAGGAAGATGAGCAGCGTCCATCACAAGCCTCTCTGAACGCTGCCTTTTGTAGGGCACAGCTGCCCCAGCACTATGCCTGTTTTGTTTTCAAAAGGGAAAAGATCAGGGTTCCATCACTGAAATCTTTGCATTTTCCTAGCAATCACATTTTTCGATTACTGACTAAAAGTCAGTACTCAAGCCCTTTTTACCCAAGCAAAGCAGAGACTCTTCAGAAGGAAATAAAAAACAACCAACTTGCCAGATTTCAGGCTCCATCTCTTTCAATTTGCAAGCTAGGATTGATTTGGGTCAGTAAACATAAAGCAAAAGTTCCTATAACATACACAGGCACATTCCTCAGATCAAAGAGGCTTGTGGTTACACATCTCAAACTGCTTGAGCTGTGTAATATTGAAAGGCCCTGTGATGGGAAACGAGTGACATGACAGTAAGTGGGAGAGGAGGAAGCCCTCCATGCCCAGCTCCATCCCGCAGGCAGGTGGGCAGCACTGGATGAACCATCACAGAGCACAGGCATTTCCTGGCAGCATGTGTTACTGTGAGACCTTTTGCTGAGCAGGCTCTGGTGAGTCAGTGTGAGGTCATGCACTTACAGCAAGGCAGTGCTGGATGATTGATCTTCTGAAGTCAGAACTGAGCCTCTGGAGATCATTTCTATGAGACAGCCCAGTGCTGTTCCTGGACAAAATGCTTGGGGACAGCAGAGGGCAAACTCTAGAGATGACTTGATCTAAACGACCCGGTGTGATACCATGTCCTGTGCAGAGGGACATATATAATATTTATAAGTTTTATATTTAAAACTTATTCAGAGTCCTAAAGGAATTTAAGAGAGGCAGCTTTTTCTCTAATGCTCTCTGACACCAGGCCAAATCAGCAGGAAATCCACTGAACTAATAATGAGGGCTCATCAAATCCTGGTACCAAATAACTTCTCTTTTGCAAAAACAGAAAGGTTTTTGCTTCACCTTTTCTTTTGGTTGAATTTTTTTATTAAATATAAAACTAGAGGTTTTTGCTGATTTTTTTTTCTGACTCATTTTATTTTTCCAGAAAATAGAAACAAAAAAATGTTTTGGTGCAAAAGGACAGCTTGTCAATGAGAAATTTTAGAGATTGTTTTCTCCAAAATATCCATATCAAACAATATTTTTATCACATTATTGATGCATTTCTGATATTACTCATGTGTATTCACCTTGTATTTCTTTCCACAGGGTCTATCCGATATAGTCAAGAAAAGAATTGTCTGTGTCAGCGGGAAATAATAGTCTATCAGATTTCTCTTTCAATAAAAATCTTATTTTTTGTGCATTTCATACAGCTTCAGCAGTTGGACTTCCTTTAGAAATTGCTCTTTATGTCATTTAACACTTTGTAGGAAGGAGCACAGTGCTCGACAGAGCTCCTAGACTAACCATCTAGCACCTTGAGTTTCACAGCTCTCAGGACAAGTAAAACACAAGCTGTCCCTCCAACTTGCCTGAGTAACTCCATAGTGCCTGCAGATCAAGCCTTTGTACAGAGATTTTAGTACTGTATCAGACTCATTTTGAAATGTTTATAGCTGGACACTTAAGACTGGGCCAAAACACCAAAAATACCCCAAGGAAACTACAGAGAAAATACCACAGTTTGATAGTCTTAAGTCCCCACTAAGCCTTTTAGTGGAAGACATAAAAGGAAGAATCCTCCCACCTTTGTTCTCCCAACTCCCACAATTTCCTACAAAGGTTTGCAGTGTTCTTTCATTGTGTGGTGGAACAACAGGGATGGAACTCCCAAGGTGCTACTGATGAAACCCCACACTGTGAAGCAGGCAGTGTGGCAGTGTCAGCAGTTCCTGTGGAACGGGATCTCTGATGATAGAAAAAGCACAAACAGATCCACTTTAAAAGGTCCATTTTGGATTACCTAGGTTTTCTCACAATATGTGTTGACTGCACTGGAAACAATGGCTACACTGTAAACAAAATACTCCATGTAGCTGGGGAAGCAAAAGGGTAAAGAATTACAGGGAAAATATGAAAAATATTCAAACAGTGAAAATTGGAAAAAAAAATCCTTTCAAAGGAGGAAAAGATGCTGAATTATACTTATTTATGCTGTGAAAGCACCTTTACATTGCAGGGCTGGACCTAGCAAGCCACCC